GACTCGAGGCACCTGGGGCTGGAGCTGTGGCTCGTCCTCTGCTTACTGGGCCAGCCTCGACCTCCCAGGGCAGGATCTCAGCGGCCTTCTGCACCCTGTGTCCTCAGAACAGTGTGTGGTGCGAGGAGGACTGGGCATGAAGTCCCTCTGTGTGCAGGTTCCACAGGGGTCCTGAGGCCCCGGGGCCCTGCCCTGGGTGGTGACCTTTACAAGGCGGGCAGGCAGGCGCACAGGAAGGAGGTGGTCTGATTAAGAGCAGCGGAGGTTTGATACAAGTAGGTCAGCTGCACTGTGGTGGCCAGAGCTCTGGGGAGGTGCGGGGAGGGGGTGGGGGTGAGGGGCAGGGAAATCCCTCAGACCCAGAGCAGAGCGAGGARTCAGGGAAGGCTGGGGGAGGGGGAGTCCCACCCCCACCTCAGGCTTCATGATGTCAGACTCTGCCCGTGCCTTTCCCAGTCTGGGACAATGGCCCATTGAAAGTGGGGTGGGGCTTGAACGCCTGGGTCCTGGAGAAGAGAAGGGCCTGGTGCCTGGGCTTTAGGGGAGGACACAGAGATGCTGGGGTACTCATGTGTCACCACCATCCATCTACACCAACCCTCTGGGGTTGCAGTTGGGGACTCTCTGGGCATGAAATGAAGGCTGCTTCTAGGGAAAGGACGCACAGGCATGGGTATCACACAAGGATCCTGCTAATTATTGCCAAGATCTGCCATTGCCCTCCGCAATGCAGGAGTGAGGCAGGTGGTGTGAGAGTGAGTGACAGGCTGGGTGAGGGGGCCGAGGAACCAGAGAGCAAGTGTCCTCTCCAAAGGGGCCAGCTGCCAGGCAGATCCAACTGGCAAATCAGCTGATGTTTTGAGAGAAAGCAGGTGTATTAGTTTGCYAGAGTTGCTGTAACAAAACATCACAAACTGAGTGGTTAAAAAAAATAGTGTATTATCTCACAGTTTTGGATACTTGAATTCCAAAATCAAGGTGTTAGCCAGGGTGGTTCCTAGATATGTGTAAATATTTTTTGGTTTGTTACTGGGGATTGAACCCAAGGGTGTTTAACTACTGAGCTTTTTTTATATTTTATTTAGAGACAGAGTCTCACTGAGTTGCTTAGGGCCTCGATAAGTTGTTGAGGCTGGCTTTGAACTCGAGATCCTCCCCAGCCACTAGGATTACAAGCATGTGCCACCWCGCCCAGCAGGATAGTTCCTGATGAGGGTCACAAGGGAACCATCTGTTCCGGGTCTCTCTCCTTGGTTTGTAGATGGCTGTCTTCATGTTCACATGGTGTTCTACCTATATCTGTCCAAATTTTCCCTTTCAACCAGGATGATGGGGTCAGGACCCACCATAATGATTTCATTTTAACTTGATGACCTCAGTCAAGACTACTTTCCACTGAGGTCACATTCTGAGATGCCCAGGGTTTAAGACTTCAACATATGAATTGGGCAGAGAGGGCACGGTTCAGCATATAAGAGTCTAATTTTTTAAGTGCTCTAATTTGTAGTTATTAGTGCAATTYTATCTAAAATGTCACGCAGAACAAGGAAAACTCATCTCCAGGTAGAGTGTGGCTCTCAGTCACTGCCCTCCCCTAATGTTCTCTGGAGGGGGSGCTGGGACTTCATCCAACCCACAGGCACTTACTAGTCTTTTAGTCAAGCCTGGCAGTTTCACATCAGAGGTCCTCAAGTTGTGGCCTTAGGGCCAGCCGCCCTGACACTGCCTGGGTGACCTTGTGAGAAAYACAAGTTCTCGGGCTCTAGCTTCACCTGTGGAACGAGGAACTCAGGGGAACCTGCATTTTATTAGGCCCTGGAGATTCCCTCTGAGGCACCCTGAGGATTGAATACTGCTGCTTCAGATCCTCTCACCTCCCTAGGACCCCCAGGAGAACGGCCTCAGGAAGTGAGAGAAGAGCAGGGAGCTGTATGGGAGGTGGGTGTGGAGGGGGGCGGTTGTCATTCAGTTTAATTAGCAAAGTCAGGTTTCCCACCTCCCAGGTATTTATCAGAGAGGTGGGGGAGGGCTTCTCTCTCTCTCAGTACCAATACTCATAAAAGAGTACTAGCCCTTTACACTTAGGAGGTCTGTGACAGTTTCCAGCCTCTCCATACTCCTCCCCATACGCCATTTGCAGAAGGGCGAAGACCTGGCATCGGGCTGTGGCTCTGAGGAGACTGAATCGGCTGCAGGCTCCTCCCGCTGCCCTTCGGGCTTCCTTCAGGAAGCTGAGTTGAGCAACTCAGGGACCTGGACAATATGGCCACCAGAAGGACCCAAGTTCTCCAAGGACAAGTTGTTGGCGGATATGGGATATGGGACTGTCCAGGAGAGGGGGTGTTATTTGACATCTCCACTCTCCTGGGGTACTCATAGGTTATAGCCTTGACATTAGCAGGAGGGGAAGGGGAGTCTTGAGGGGCGGGATGGGGGTCAGGCCATGGGGAGGAGCTTATTGGATGCTCCCTTTTTCTGAGGGGGCGGGGCTTGGGGATTTGRGCATTCTAATTAGGGTGGGTGGGACACCTAATATCACTGTTCAGAAGGCGTGCTGCTGGAGACTTTTGAACGGAGCMCGCAGAGGGAATGTCCACTGTTCATGGTACTGCACATGCCCTATTCTGCTTTCAACTGGATCAGGGCTTGTGGTTTTAGTGTCTGTTGGGTTACGCTTACCTGAGACGTTAGTGAAGCAGAAATTACAAGGTTACAAGAAATAGGAGTGATGACCTTGGCCCGCTGGGGCCCTCCATCCCTTCGTCTTCCCCCTGTCCAGCCTCTGATGGCTTCTAAGGCAGAAGGCAAAAAAGTTGGTAGTATACAGGGCTGCCCTGCTCCCGGATGGGTTTAGTTTGGCTAACACAGTGTTGATTTAAAAAAAAAAAAAAAAGGTTCTTTTAATCAGTTGTTGTGAGGATGGCCCTAGGCCTGAGCCTAAGCAACTCCATTTTCAAAGCTCCAGTTTGAAACCTGCAGTCTCCCCAGGCACACCCACAGAGCAGAGCCCTCCAGTGTGGCCTCAGAGAAATCACTTCCCCCCACCCTGATAAACAGTGAAGCCCCTGGCAGGCGGTCCTCCCCTGATAAGAGGGAGAGGCCAGAAGATCAGGGTGGAGAGCACCAGACCAGATGTTTCTGACCCCAGGGTAAATGACGTCATGGAGAAATCTGGTGGTAGCTGATAAGGATTGAAAGGGGGGTCAAAAGCCCCCAAATTTAGTATAAGTAATAGAGCTGATGAACAGGGATTCAGCCAGCAGGAACAAGGATGCACTGGAGCTGGAGAGCCTGATGAGGACCTGACATCCCATCACTTGTCATCGTTTGCCCGATCCTCTGTGTGATCCTCACCACCCTCAAACTCTACCATCTGGACCCTGGTGAGAGCAGCAACTTCTCCCTGCGACCCTCTCCTCAACCGGTCGTCCACTCCTCCCAGGAGAAGCCTGCCTTGGTCCGGACCTGGTCACCGCGGTCTGAGTGAGTGTGTATCTGCTGGACGGAAAGCCTGAGGCTCGAGACTTTAGAACTGAGCACGCACAGGGAAGGTGTGGCACTAGCCTGGCATGATTCAGTGTGTCKGCTGTGCTTAGAATTGATTGAGAATTGTTTTCTGTGTATTAATTATGTCTATGGCAGTGCCCAGCATTAAGGATTGTCATTTTCTTGATTAAGAACCTATAGAGTGAAATGGTATTGAGTGATTTGAGTGAATAAAGGATTGAAAAGRGCAGAAATGTGTGGACATTCTTTATTTCTCCTCCTTGACTGCATACATCACAAATTTGCCCCCTCGTACCAGTTGTCAATATTTAAAAAATCAGAACATTTCATTTAAAAAATAAAAATATCCATCTCCTCTGGATGAAATCAGAAGTTCTCACACTTTGGCCTGCTTTTGGGTCTGGTTGCCATCTTTTGAAGGTCCCCTTAAGGGGGCCCCAGGCCTCCTTCCTTCCTGACAATACCCTTCCTATCAAAGGGCCAAGGCACTTTATCRACCTGCAAGCGCTATTGTAATCTTATGAGGGAGGGAGATAATCTCTTTCTACCAAAATTAGGTCAATAAGAATGAGACTGACTCAGGGAAATTCATTACTGTAAAGGTGAACAGTATTCCTATGTGCTTCACGTGAAAAGTGTGTCATATTGAGAGAACACAACCTAAGATGCTCCCGTAAAGCAAATCCAACATTCCTCACTCACTTCTTGTACCTTTCTGATCCCCGATGGTCAGTGATTCTCAAATGTTTTGGTATCAGGATCTTTGAACTCTTCTAAAAAAAGTTTTGAGAATCTCAGAGAGATTTTGTTTTAAGTTTTTGTATGTTAAAGCTGTAGTTGCTTAATGTAATAGAAATTGTAGTTGGTAGATTTTGGAGCTCAAGATATACAAGCACACAAGCCGTCAGCTATCAGCAATGATGTCATCGTGTCACAGAGCCTTGCAAACACAACACTGTACACTTTGGAGAGTGAAAAACGGCAAATAACGTCTTAGTAGTTTCCACCTCATGGAGCCCTGGAAGGAGTCCCTGAATCTTACTAGGAGAAGTTTTATTAGGCAATAGAGTTTATGACCCCTGTTTTAGGAAGACTCCAAAGAGCTGGGTACGGYGGTGCTCATCTATAACCCCAGATACTAAGGAGGCTGAGACGGAGGTTCCCAAATTCAAAGACAGCCTAGGCAACCTACAGAGACCCTGTCTCAAAATAAAAATAAAATAATAAAATAAAAATAAATAGGGCTGGAGATGGAGCTTAGTGTAGAGGGCTCCAGAGTTTTCAATTGATACACACCAAGATTCTGAGGAGAGGCAACTTTGTTTAACTTTTCATTTCTTGCTGTTGCAACATAAATTCCAGGTCTTTTGAAGTGGGGAAAGAAGGGAGAGAACAGAAAACAAATTTACTTCACCAACTTTCTGGCAAGCTCCCGTAACACACCAATCTAACATTGGCCCTTGCAATGCAGGGGCTGCAAAAAAGGACAGCAGACACTCCAGTTTGAAAAATAAAAGAACCAGGCATTTTATTCCAAGACGATGGTTGGAGGGCAACAGGAATAAATAAGGGAGGGAGGGAGGCCCAGGGGCTCAGGACAGGAAGACTCTAGGTCCTGCAGCAAATTCCACACCCGGAATTTGTACAGCAATTGCAGCAGAAAATGCAGATGGGAAAGTGGGTGTCTCGCCTCCTTAGCCTCTGGCTCACGGGCTGTGGGAAGGAAGGGAGAGTGAGCGGCGGGACGCAGCGTGGCCTGGGCAGRCGAGGGGACAGGGTAGGGAGTTCAACCACTCTTACCGTCAAGTGGGCTTCGGTCACAGCTGTGTACTGGGGGTGGCTCTCTGCGGGCTGCCTCGTGAGTTGCCCTGTCTGTGAAAGAGAAGGGGGCATTGAGGATGGCAGAGTCCAACAGAGATCTTGGACTTGCTCCCACCAACCTGTTCCTCCCCAGGTGCCTGGTGACCTCATCATCCAGCTGGCTCGGAGGAGGGAATCTTGCCTTTCTGCTTTCCTCCCTGCCTTCCTAAAAGCATCCCAGATATGTCACCTTCACTCTCTGCAGTCACTCCTCTTCTTCGGGGTGGTCACCCTCCCTTGGCTGGATGCCAGCATCAGCCAGGTCTTCCTGCACCGGGCCCCCTTATGATCCAGTGACTTTCACTCAGACTCTTACCATGTGGCTTTCCTAATTGAAAAAGCCTACAGCCCTTCCCAAGCACTCAGAGGAAAAGTCACAGTGTCCRAGCAGCTGCCCACGAGGCTGGCCCGATCTGTGTCCTGCCCACCCAAACTTGTCTCCTGGCACCATCTCCTYCCATCCTCAGGAGCTCCACGCTCCTGCTCACCTGCTACCGTCCAAAGCACAGGCCGACTGGAATTTTCTCACAGAACACTCTTGCTTGACTGTGGGCCCCTGCCTCCACCTCTCGTCCCCCTGCCCTGTGGTCACACTACCACTGTCCTTTACATCATTCGTGGATAGTATTTATTAAACAGAATTATTTATTTGTTTTAATTGCTCATTAACTAATGACCTGACCAAGACATAAACTCCATAAGAGCAAAGATGTTGTCTCTGCCTTGCACATTGCTTTATCCCCATTGTACACAATAAGATTTGACAGAGGAGGCCCTCAGTGATACTTGTGTCATTACATCAGGGTCCCCTGAACTTGCCACTCCATCCTTGTTCTTTCAGCAACTGCCAGTCCCTCTGAGTTGTCCTGAGCTTTGCTCAGTGCTAGGGGTCCTCTGGCTGCCTTCAGTAGCCCCTCCCCAGGGGCTGACCCTCCATCCCCGTCCTGGCCCCAGGGGCTCTTACCTGTTGCTGGAGGCTGGAGGCAGTGGCCAGGCTGGTGAGGAGGAGGAGCAGGAGGCAGGCAGCCCGGATCTGGGTGTTCAGTGCCATTGTGCTGTCTGTCTGTCTGACCTGCTCTTGGGTCTAGGACTTGCTGTGGTGACTGGGGTGCAGTTACAGTGGCTTTTATGGGGCCTGCTGGAGGCAGTGGTCTGAGCCCCCACCCCTTTGCCCTAACTCATTTCCAAGAAGGTGGTGGCGCCGAAAAGGCGGGAGAGATAAGCGGGAACAGAGTGACAGGGAACAGGGTTGTGTCACCCTCAGCCAGCAGAGGTGTGTTCAGGGGGCGGGGCAGACGGGGCCACAGACACAGGCGTCTAGCCAGTCACCCGGAGAACCTTTTTCCCCAATATAACGTCACCCTGTTGATCTCAGGGAAAGAAAGAAAAATTCCACTTTTTGTCCCGGAAGTTGACCTGGTTTGTGAGTAGAAAACTCCACCTTGTCTCCCAGGACCATCTTCTGCTGTCAGATTCTCAGGTGGTCCTCAGGTGTTCCCCACTGTCTCCAGACTTGTGAACGGAAGGGGTGCCCCTGGCTCCTGTCCCGCCCCCCCTGGCATCCTCATTCACACCTCTCTATTGCTCATGGGCCCCTCAGAAGGGCCCGGCATGGTTTGCGGGGAGAGCATCCCGTTCCTTAGTGTTCTCTTCACACAGGCTCTGGGGGGGACACTGGAGAGCCAGGTGCCTGGGGAACTCGGCCCACAGGAGTCCCCAACACCCCCTGTGCTGCTTCCCAAGTGTCAGAACCTTGAGACATGGGCCTAGTCGCTGGAAAATGACTGAGTGAACTTTTGAGCATGAAAGATGGCAGTCGTGGCAACAGCTGGCATCTGCTGGCTGCATCTTCTATGCCAGCATTTGTATCAACTCACTTGTGTCAGCCAGTGCCACCTAGGTAGCCCCCGACTTCCCCAACCTGGGCTCTGCTCTGTATCTGGGGGCCTTGGTTGCCTTCTCAACACTGACCCCAGGTCCTGGCATCTCTGACTCCAGGGCCCAAACCTGGCAGGGCACAGTAGCACTAGACCTGGCTCAACAGGGGCAGCCGGYGCCCACCCATCCCAACACTGTATTTCATGGTGTCACACCTGCACCTTGAAATCAGCAAGGTTTTGTTTTGTATTGCTTTTGAGCTTGTTCCCAGGCTGCTCCTAGGTGGGGAATGACCAGGGCTGTGTGGTGCCTTCATTCCCATCTAGCCACCTCACGATGCATGTGGCTCAGGAGACCCACCGACCTCAACTCTGGAGACAGGCTGTTGGCCATTTTGACTCATGCCATCACAATCCACTGGAAACTTGGGAATGATGTTGTCAAGGAGTGACACTTCTGGCCAGGCTGTCAGGACCCATTTTAAACCACAAAAATAGACGGGTGCTGGGGGAGTGAGGGCTGTTCCCTGCCACAGCCCCTCTGTCACTCTGCTAGGTAGCTCCTCCTGCCACCCACTCTCAAGGACGACTTCAAAGGGGGATGATCAGGAAAAGGGCTCTCAGAGGGGAGAGGCCAGTTGGAGGCACTTAGGGAGCTCAGCATGGTGACCTGCAGCAGGCCTGGATTTGGGGAGGCCATGAATGATGGGAAGCTCACCCCGAGACAGCAKCGTCCCCAGCCCTAGCAGCATGGCTGTGTCACAGCTCAGACCAGGTTTCATCACCAGCCAGGGCCAGGGGTCACAGCACAGGCGCCAGAGCCACGGTGCGAGGCGACAGGCTGACGGGCCAAGCCTGGCTTCCTGGCCATCTGCCCTCCCTGGGGGTGGGGGGCTCAAGGCCAGGCCCCATCATTGGCTGGTGCGGAGGGGAGGGCTTCGGCAAGGGCAAGGCTGGGAGCCAGGCCCGTTGTCAGGAATTGCTGACACAAGGGACCCCAGCCTCTTCTCCAACATGCAGCATGTCCTTGACCCCAGCTCCCCTGACCCCACATCCATGTCCCCTGGGTCTCCAACACACAGACTGGGTACCCACTGGTATGGAATGGCAAGGACTGGCACACAGCCATGACCACAGCAGCTGAGGCCCTGGCCTCAGGGAGCTCTGTACAGACGCCAGCCCTCCCCACACCTGAAACGCAGAGACACAGACAGACAAGGCGGGGGCCACGTGGGCCAGTTTATTGCAGTTAAATACCTCTCTCTCTCTATTTTTTTTTTTGTCCATTTTTCCATAAAGAAAATTACACACATACACAGACACAAACACACACACACACGCACACGCACACGCACACACACGCGCCCACACACACATACACACACCCAGAGGGAGCAGGGATCCAGAAACAAGAGGTGGGGTGGGACATGGCCTCCCTGCTTAGGTCCAGGTCCCAGGGATGGCCCCCCTAAAGCTCCCTCCTTCCCATAAGCACCCTGTCTCAGCACCTCTAGAAACCAAGGAAGCAGCGGGAAGCGGCAGGGCCTCTGTCCTCCCTTTAGCCTCCAGGTGAGACCACTAGAAGTGCCAGGCATGGTGAGGGCCAGGGGAAGGGAGACCGACCGACAGACAGACAGACGGGGAGGGGTATCGTTCCAAGTTGAGGAGGGCGGTGGGCAATGTATCCACAGAAATGCATTATTTCTCCCCGTTTTTGTTAAAAATCTACTATAAAAAACGCAGCTGGGGGAGGGGCGTCTGTCCCTCTCTGTGCTAAGGGCTGGGGGAGGGGGCAGCAGAGGCCAGCGGCTGCACACTGGGGGCGGGCGTCACGTCACTGTCGGGTGCTCTCGCCCACCATCTCCAGGTTGTGCTGCTGCAGCTGGGCTCGAAGCAGGGCGTTCTCATTCTTCAACTCCTCGATCTGCAGACATGACAGGGGACAAGGGAGTGAGCCGGGGCTGGCTCCTGAGGTCCCCGTCTGGCCCCCRTCTGGCCCCAGTCTGGCCTCAGCCTGGCTCTCACCTGTTGCCGCAGGAGCTCATTGTCCATCTGCAGCCGCTCGGCCTCCTTGAAGGTCTCCTGCATKCGCTGGTTGGTCTGGCGTAGCTCCCGGATGTAATCGCAGGCCTTCGACAGGATCCCCCCTTTACTCTGGGGCAGCGGGTGGGCAAGAGCATCAGAGGGAGCACTGCCCACCATCCCATCCCAGGACAATTCTGTGCCCACTGCCAGCCAGACTTCCTGGAAGAGGCCTGGGAAACTGGGCCACCGAGGGCGGCGGGCACTTACCGCTCCTGTCTTGCTGTTGTCTGCATTACAGTCTGGAATGATTTTTGAAAGTTGGACAATCCAGTTGTTGATCTTGTCCCTCCGCCTCCGCTCCACTGAAGGAAAAACAGCAACAGTCCCGGCTACAAGGACAGCACTTCTCGTGTGCCTGGCAGTACAGACTGTCCGTGCTGAGCACACCAAGGGACATCGAGGGCCCTGCCTAAGCCTATAGCCAGGAAGTGCAGAGACGAGAACCCTGACAGGCCTCCCCCAAGCTGGCTTTGCTGCTTCACAAGGAGGAAGGATCAAACCCTGACCCCCACGTGCCTCACACCTCGGGCACACCTCACACCCTGGCAGAAAGCAGAAGCCAGGGACAGTGGCCATTTTGTTGGCCTGCCCAGCGTACTGACAGAATCTGAGTCAACATTTAAAAATTTAAAAATTTCACTCATGATGGGCATCTTGGGCTTCTTTTAAAAGATGGAGTCTGGGCACAGTGGGCTCATGTTCTTGGGAGGCAAAATTGACACAGGATCCTATAACACTCCTGTACCCACAACCCCTATGTTTGATTCTCTACATCGTTTCAGAAACTCTGGGTCCCATGATCTTGTTTTCCCACTTTTTTTTTTCTTGGTACCAAGGACTGAACCCAGGGACACTTCTTAACCACTGAGCTACATCCCCAGCCCCATTTTATATTTTATTTAGAGACAGGGTCTCATTGAGTTCCTTAGGGCCTCACTAAGTTGCGGAGCTGGCTTTGAACTCGCAACCCTCCTGCCTCAGCCTCCCAAGCCACTGGGATTACAGGTGTGCGCCACCACCATCTGGCTTTCCCTCTCATCTTTAAAAATCAAAGTCTAATCTCATCTTGCCCTTATTTAGAGTCTTTCTCCAGAGTCCTGGCAACAACTTCCAGCTCCCTAGACTGGTACCCATGGCTCTCAAGGGCTCCCCAAGGTCATTTGCTCTTGGGGAGCACGATGGAACATGAGCAGGAACCCTATACCCTGAAGGCCAAATGGTGAACTAATAGAGAACTTCACCTGGAAAGTCCGGGTTTGAGATTTTATTCTATAATCTCTAGAGTGTCACTCCGAAGCAGCTGAGCTGGGTGGCAGTCACCCCTGCAGGCAGGCCGTGTGCTCTTCCTTTGGCCAAACTCAGTCCCTATCCTGCTCTCCCCAGGAGCCAGGTGCACTGGACCCCAGATCCTCCCAAGCTCCCAGAGGCCAGACTGCCTCAAGCCTTCATTAGCAGCCCCGTTCAGGACCACATCCCCTGGGGACACAGAAGCCCCAGGCACTCCCAGCTGCCCTCACCCCAGCCCCACCCTCTGGCCAGGAAGGCTCAAGAAGTCTGTGGAGTGGGGAGCTTAAAAAGTGGGTAAGGGGACACTTTCTAAGGGTCGGAGAGTGGTGACGGGAAACTGGCAGGGGGAGAAGGGAGGCGAGTGAGGGCACCCTCTTCACTCCCCCGGAGTTCAGCACCTCCCCCCAGCCTTGCCACCCCTCGAGGGCTGCTCATGGCCCGTGGGGGCAGAGCCACTGTCTTCTCTGGGTTCGTCCACTCCTGCTGACCAGCCTTTCCTGCCTCYAAAAGCCTCCTGCATTGGCCTGGGTGACATCACCCTCCAAGGACGACTCTTCTCCCCTCCGGTCTCTCCTCCCAGCCCTACTTCTCCTCGCTGTCCTCCCTTCCTCTGGAAACTGCCCAACACCATGCTGAGAACGATGCCCGGTGCCCGGGGCTGCACTTGCTGTGGGGCCGAGCTCACTCTCTCACTCTGTGCTGGGCTCTGGTGCAGCTTCGCTTCCCATCACCGTCATGGTGAGTAGGGTCTGCCACGGAGGGTGGCTGCACCTATGGGGACTCTGTGGCCAAAAGGAGCAGCAAAGCGGAGTCCACCCCAGGCCTGGCAGCACCACCACCAYGTCCCTCCACAGGGCGCTCTTCCCAAAGCTCTCAATAGCAGCTGCCTCTCAGCTTCCTCTCCCTCCACCTCAGCCTTCCGAGCCAGCCCGCGCTGGCTGCAGACTCATCTCCCGGCACTGTCATTCCAGGCCAGCAGGGGCAGGGATAGGGGCGGGGGTGGCCTCTGTAGTTTACATTTACTTCCGAAAAAACCTGCTGCCTTCATGGTGGCCTGTGGGACCCTCCACGAGGCTGGGATCTAGGGTGGAATCAACTCCTGGTCCTGTCTTGCTGACACTCAGCACCGCTGCGGGGCCACAGTGACCCCACAGCTGATGACTACACAGTGCCCAGGAAGGCCGGGTGGGCAGAATTTTCTGCCTGGGACTGAGGCTGGGATGAATCTTCAGAGGAGACTTGAGAACATCTGAGCTGGCTCCCGTGAGGAGGGGCATCAGGTGATAGGTGGCAAGAGCCCAGAAATGGTGACATGAAAACACAATGTGGGTGGGTAGGGGGAGCGAGAAGAGGTGCCACAGGTGGTCAAGTCTTGCATGCTCTGCTGGTGGGGCTGGACCTCAGCTCTTCCTCCAGAGCTCTAGCCCCTCAGGCCCAGGGCTTGTCACCCCAAGCAGTGGTGGCGGGATCAAGCCTGTGGCTTGGGAAGACATCAGAGCACTTTTGAATGGAGGAGGCTAGGGTCACATTCACTCCATGGGAGAACTTCTGTTACACCCACGCAACACTTAAAACACAGTCGAGCAGCACAACCTACCAGGACTGAAGAAAGAAATGGACAAACTCACAAATCTAGTCTGAGAAGTCAACATTCCTCAACAACCGCAAGAAAAAGTCAACAAAACAAACAAAAAAATAACACCAGGAGAGAAAAGTCCCACACTCAGCCAAACTGGCCTCCTTGACACAGAGAACCTTTGCCCACAGCCACAGACACACGGCCAGTCAAGTGCACACGGCACTTTCACCCAGCTAGACCACACGTTGGGCCCTAAGGTCTCAGAAAGTTCAAAGAATTTGGAACCACATAAAGTATGCTCTCTGACCACAAGAGAACTAAATTAAACATCAATTAACAAAAAAGATATCCAGAAAAMCCACAAATATTTGGAAGTTAAGCAACACACTTATAAATGACCCAAGGGTCAAAGAAGTAATCAGAAAGAAAATTGGAAAATATTTTGAACTCAAGGATAATAAAGACACAACCTATCTAAAGCAGTGTTAGAGGGCTGGGGCTGGGGCTCAGCGGTAGAGCACTTGCTCACATGAGTGAGGCCCTGGGTTCGATCCTCAGCACCACATAAAAATAAATAAATAAAAAGCAGTGTTAGAGGGAAATATACAACTATAAGTGCTTGCATTAGGAAACAAGGCTTAAAATCATATTTTAAAGTGAGGGAGTCAGAAAAGAAAAGAAACACAAACACAAAAAACAAAACCCTGCAAATTGAAGTTGAAAGTAAGTAGATGAAAGGAATTAGGAATATTAATAGTGAAAACTAAGAAATACAAAAAGCAATTCAATCTGGTATTTAAGTCAGATTTCATATAAAGATTTGGATTTCTGGCCACAGGCTGACCCATGCACCCCAGTTCATTTGGGGTCCCCTGTCCCCCTCTGTGACACACCAAACATAAGGCACTCCCTCAGGCCCCTGCAGGCGTCCTCCTGGGAGAGGCCCCTGCAGAGCGGCCAAGGTGGGGAGGAGGAGGAGAAGCTGATTTACACAGAGCCTTGAAGACGTGGATGCAGGGCAAGAGTGGCAAGCTGCTCTGGCCTCGGGTTTCGGGTTTGGGTGACTGACAGGACTGCCTTCCGCTGCTGTGGACAAGGAAGTGCTGCAGGGGAAGCTCTGGGGAGGGGAGACAGAGTTCTCTTTTGGACAAAGTTGATCTTGAGGCATCTCAGACAGGAGCGATGGAGATTTTGAGTGGCACTTTCAAACAGGGGTCTAGAGTCCAAGGGAGAAGAATGGAGTCAGCACAGCTTTGCACAGCACCAGGATCCAGGTGGTGGGCAAAACCCTGGGCAGACACAGAGGCAGTGCTCAGCCTGCTGTGAGCCATAGACTCTTGGAGAAGAGAATGGAAGGTTCTTATAACTGGGGTCAGAGTATTAGGGACACTGACCAACCAGAGCTTCTGAGGGGCCATCCCTGGACCTCATGAGTCATACTTCTGAGGCAGATGGAAGAGATCTTAAGAAACACCAGCCACCAAAGCCATTCTCCAAACTTGCCTGATGTGAAGAAGTACCTGGAACATGCATCAGAAATAGATTCCCCTCTGATCTAGTCATTTGGAACTTGCAGGGAGGGTCYTGGAGAGTTTGATTGTTAATAAACCTTCCAAGAAAAGTTGGGGGACTTTGCTTTGRGGAACAGATGGAGAAGAAGAAGCAAAGGCTGGAATGTTGGGAGCTGTCACATGGGAACCGTGCGCCCCTTAGCCCTGAGCAATGAGAATGTGGCGCTGTGGCAAGCCAGCCACGGGCTGTGTGTGTGAACTATGGGCATTGAGCGCACAGGGTGGACTGAACCGATGCTGCCCCTCTTTTTTGGGGGCCTCGCTCTGGTCTTTTTGCTTGCTCTGCCAAGATCTCCACACAGCTCATGAGATGGGCGTGGCCTCCCTAGATGTCAATCTGCTGACAGCAGACATCACCAAGCTAGACTCAACCACTGAAACCTGACCCCTTGCCTCATTTGAATGGCTTCTCCCCATTAAAAGGGTTCAGCTCAGCTCCTCTCACTCTTTCCAAAGACCCTCAAGGTGAGAGGAGCCGTCACAGAACCCAAATAAAAAGGTATTTCTCTGTCTCTGTGTGATTATTTCGTGCAGCCCACTTCCCCTGGAGTGACCCTGCATGTTTTAGTCGTGGAACTGTAAAAGAATCAGAGAGGGTAGAAGAGAAGGGGACATTCCTGGAAAGGGGGTGGAGGTGGGGCATGGTCAGATGCTTGGAGCCAGATGGGAAAGGAACCCAGTGGATTTGGCAATGAGGTCATCCTGGGTGACCTTCAACGGAGCCCATCTGTAGGGCCAAACAGCCACGGGAAAAGGAGGATGGGCAGATGGTGGGTCCAGTGTTAAGGAGTGTAGGAGTGGGAGGGCAGGACGTGCTGGAGGGTGAGGGCAAGTTTAGGAGGAAAACTGCTTTCTGGAGAATGAGGACTACTGGAAACCGCTTGAGGGCTGATGAACTGCGGGGAGAGGTGG